AAAATACCTCCGTGGACTTGCAAGAAATCCGCCTGTAAGGAGAAGTCGCCCAAAGCCACGGAAATTCACCCTTTATCACAACTCGTCCGACCGAGTCTGTATTCAAATCCACCAGCAAACCTCAAGGCCGCCAATATGGCCAGGTATCTGCTACCCCACGTGCTGAGGCGGGCTTTCCCACTCCTCTCGACCCGAAGGGAGAGGGCACAGTACTCTAAGGCCGTCAAGTGGCCGCTCACAGTACGAATGATTGGCACAGTACGAATGATTGGGCAGGTGTCGAGTCGATCTGAACATTCATAAATGCAGCTCACCTCGGCTGTCCGAGTCGGGAGCTGGATCCGCCGGCATTCGGCGAGCTGTCCAAGCCCACTCGAGTACTGGGAACCCGCTTTCCCACCTCTCTCGGCCTGAAGAGAGAAGACATGGTACTCCAGGCCCGCCGAATGGCCGCTCACAGTACAAGTGATCGGACAAACACCAAATCAACCTGCACCCTCATAAATGCGACTTACGTCACTTGTCCAAGCGAGAGGCGAGAGCCGCCGGCGCTCGGTGAGTTGGTCAAATCCACTCGAGTATCTGACAGCCGTTGTCACACGTATGAGGAGGGGCTTTCCCATTCCTACGTGACGTGATGCAAAACACGGCTCCTCGAATGACCGCTCATGGTACAGGTGAACAGCAGGATATCTCTGAGCAATGTATGGTCACATCCCATAATTCAGGGAACAGCAAAACTGACCCTCTTTCATTTAAGAGCCTCTTCCAACAACCTTTAAAAGAGGTCAGAAAACTTTGGGAAAGGCAATCGAGACCAAGCTTTTTGCATAATTTATGTATTGCAGCACCACTTCCTAGTTCTGAGCCCTGATCGCCGGCGAACTAGTAGATCCGAACTCTATCGACTCGAGCTTCTACTGCGTACTGAAGCTCTCCAGCAACCTCGGTCGAACGGCCCAAGGGAAGCAGACTCGACACGAGCATCGAGCGAAGCATCCTGTAGCTACCAAAAGTCCCCACACTAAACAAAGAGGGCATTCCCTCTGCTTCTGTTGTAATTTCGATTTATTAGTTTGTAATAAGCCTTCTTATCAATACAAACGAAGTTCCCTGTTTTCGGGAGATCAAAATTTACACCCTACAATGCCCTTAGAGAGTATTAAAGAGAAGTATATGAGTTTTGGTTGAGAAAAATAAATGAAATCCCTCTCTATTTATAGATACAGACTCGTAGCTAAATGACCAAGAACCCTCAAATTTTGGTCATTTTTATCGTTTTTAGGGGTATTTTGATCAATTAACAAAAATAGTCATCATAGGCTATTTTTAGCAGACCGGACAAGGCTAGGCATGGGTCGCCCAGTCCACCCAGTCTTCTTGACCGTTGGACCAGGCTCAGTCCTGGTTAGGTCCGGGCCACCCAATCCAATGGTCAAATTTTTGATCGTTGGACCCTGGGTCGGGCTTACCGACCGTGTCCAACTCTTCCCGGGGTTGGAAGTCGTTGTTCCCTGGACCCTACCATTTTTGTAGCCAGTCCGGCCCTGACTCGGTGCTGGTTTCGCCGAGGCGACCTGAGCCCGGGCTCGAAGCCCGATTTAGCATGGAAACCGCGCTTTGCCTGGGTCTGGGTCGAGCTCCGGCCTAGTCGGGTCCACTCCGGATGCTGAGCTGGGTCCGCGCCTCAGGCCTGTTTGGACAGCCCTAGATATAAGAGGGAAAAAATCTTTGTTGGCCCCTTTGCCAAACCAAAGGACTAAATTATTAATCATTTATATAAGTTTTAATAATCATTTATAATTAGAGAGGTTAACTCTTAATTCTTCTAAATAAGAGTATTAATAAACCCTTCATTTTGAACAGTTAACACATTTTAATCCCTCTATAGTGGTTAGCTTAATATTTTTATATATTTTGCATTTGATAAAAATATAGAGTGTTAACTCAATTTAACTCTTGTGTAGATTTTGTGTGATTGGGGGATTAAGAAGAGGTTAAGTATCCCCGACCCCTCATTTGACCCTTTGCAAAGTACAGAGAATTTATTGACGTATTTTAAGTATCCCACGTCAGCAGAGACGCGGCAAATCAACACGCTTATCCACTCCGGAAACACGTAAGCAACAGCTAGCATATGGATTAGCGATTAATTAGGAACGTGCAGCTAGTTGTCACCAATGACAAAATTGCCCCTACAGCTAGAGAGGAGTAGAGTAGTTCAAGTTGTTCCGCAGGAGCTCCAGAAACTCGCTCGCGGCTTTCCCACGTCGCCATCGACGAAAAGTTTTTTGTGAAATCGACGAAAATGCCCCTATAAGAGGCTGACGCCGTCAAAGTTGTAGGGGGTGGTTTGGGTATAACTCGGCTCCTCGTGACTGGGGGAGGGATTTTGTCCTTTCTAGTTTCTAGAAAAGGGGTCCAAAAGTGGACATTTCTCTATATGGTATTTTGAGTTTTTTTTTTAACCAAATTAAGAAAGAATAATATAAATATTTAGTGGGCAAATTTACGGAATCGCTCCCAGACTTAACTTTGGAGTGTTTTCCACAAGTTCTTTTATACTTTATAAATGAGAAAAAGAAATCTTTAGATTTACTTACCCTAACGTACCAATAGTTCAAAAGTTTTAAGTTGGTGCGTGCTTTTGTACGTGACGTGTTTTGGACAAATTCGTGCGAAATGCATGAAAGTTCTCGATGAATTCTAGGGAACTTGCTCATATTTAATGAAGCAAACATAATAGCGTATGATTTATAGTCCTTGATTCAACACACGTTTTGCTCATTACAATTTAGATCATCAGTATGCTAAGCATACATATTTAACATATGCCAGTTGGAAACATGACAGCCAATATCATGAAGAAATACATTAACGGTGCAACAATTTTTTGGTGAATAATTTTTAAAGTTCTTGATCTAACACATGTTTTGTTCATTAGAAGTCAAATCAGCATGTTCAGATAGGGTTGGGTACGGGCAGGGTCGACATGGGTCACGACCTGGCCCGTGATATACGCAAGTCATGGGTCGGGCCGGGTCTAGCTCCAGACCCAGGATGAGAGAAATC